GGGGGGGGGGAAGAGCTCTTTCCTGATTCCTGGCTGCTATGCCTTTCTCCACTGCCAGAACTCATGGGTCAAACACACAGGTCTAAGCCTCTATGCTTTTTGTTTGTAGCTATTGTAGGTGGGGCTTCCCTCTGGCTGGCCTGATGCCAGGGCAGGGTTTGCCAATTTGGAAGCCTGAGCCAGATGCAGGCTAGCAGGGAGGAAGACACACAGCAGGCTACATATCAAGGTAGGGGGCCTTGGAGCTGCATAGCCAGCCAGGGGGATGGAGCACCTTAAGATCATTTAAGCTCCCAACCTGCTGGGCAGAATGCACCTGGACAATTTTGACTACCTGTCCTTTCTCCTGACCAGTAAGGTCTGTGCAATCCTTGCCACTTTAGCAGCCCTCTCACTTTTAGGAAGTTTCTCAGACTGCCCACCCAGATCAGCCGGATATGAATTCCCGTTTTCCACAAGCAGCTGGAATCTCCGTCTCTCCAGGCATTCCACCTGTCTTAGCTTTCCCATCCCACTAAATCTTTAGAGCACCATGCAATGTAGGTTCACGCTCCCAGGGCAGATCTCCAGGGCTAGGTGTTCAGCAGTCCCAGGCCTCCACTCCCTCCCCACTCTGTTTCTCTTCCTCCCGCCTGTGGTTGGGATGGGGGAAGGGCTTGGGCCCTGCTGCTTCACAGCTTTTGTACGTTACACTGTTCTGTAAGGTCCGCTCTTTTCTCCAGGTGTATGCAGTCTGGTGCAGCCTTCTTTCCTGTTGCTCTTTCAGGATTCATTGTATTAGTTTTATTTTCATATTATATGTGGTTTTAGGAGGAAGTCTCTATCTCACCTCTCATGTCACCTTCTTTAATCCAATCCCCACAGGTATTTTAGAAGAGTGATGATTAAACCTGTGAGCTCTAGAATCCCACTGCCTGAGTTAAAATCATAGCTCTATTGTTTACCATTGAGTGACCTTGAACCTTTCTGTGCTCTGTTTTCTTTTCTGTAAGGTCCAAGTGACAAGACTATAAGCGTTGGATATGCTGAGCACATAATACCGGTAGGCATTTCTAACCATGTCTGACACACTGTGAATGCTCAAAAAATTGGGAAGTTATTATCATTTGGATTTCCTGAGGCATGGAGGCTTCAACTGACTTTAGATGATCTGGATATGCATATTGATATAAGTATACAGATCATATAGGCAGGAGTTTCTGTATCTTTCATGCCTGTCATTCCTCCTCACCCCTATCCAGCATGGAAGGGGGACTCCAAGACAGTAATGCACAAAGTTGTACTCATTTTACCAAGGGAGAGGTTTACTTGTCTTGAGTTTGGGGGAGAATAAGGGGTAAATTTAGAGAGGCCAGAAGGAGGGAGGAAGACTGGGAGTAAGGTAGAAACTGAAACACCTGTTCAGTGTGCATTTCACATAGGCTTTTCAAAAATCCTTTGTGTGTTTACACTTCCTCACAACCACTCATACCCATACATACACACATAAGTACATGCATTCATAAATATATGTAAAAAGTGTGGCTGACATGCTAGTATACAGATTCCTGGGAAGATGCAATAAAATTATAATGTATATTTAAAAACAGTTAAAAAATTGGCACATAGGAACTATCGAGCAGTCATCAACAACAGTTTGTGATTACACACAGCAGAGTTTGAACTCTGGTGACCTCTGAGTGGTGTGATGGGCCAAGACTTTGACAGTTTGCTTCTCTATTTTCTAGTTTTTTTGGCAATGAGGCTCCACTGAGAAGCTGAGCAGCATAACATGGTTAATAGAATGAACTGTGGAGCTGCTCAGCCTGGACTTGAACCCCAGCAGCTCAACTGCCCTATGTAGGTGACATTGGGCTAGTTACTCTCCCTACCTCAGTTTCCCATCTGCCAATCAGGGGTAATGGAGCTATCACACAGGGATGTGGTGAGGAACAGACCAGTTAATGCACACAAGGTTGTGGCTGTGGTGTTAGAATCAAATGTTTCCACACTCAGGTCACCAGCTGCAGGGTGATGGATCCTAGAGAAAATGCTCAGGCCCTGACTTCATGCTTTCAGTAATGCCCTGTCCTTGGCCTGTGGCAGTGCTGGTGGTACACCTGATTTAACCTGGAGCCCTAAGCCTGGGGGCAGGAGGAGGGGATTCTACCCAAGGCGACACTCACCTGTGAGTCCCAGCAGTAGAGTCAGCAGCAGGCAAGGAGGAGGGTGGGGCCAGGAGGCAGGGATGGGCATTGTGGACACCCGAGGAGGCTGCTGTGTCCAGACCCGGGCTGAGAGAACCAGGATCTGCTCTGTGGACAGTAGCAAAGCCCACCTCCTGCGATAGAAGAGGAAGTACCTCTGATGGGGTGGAGAAGCTGTGAGACAGCCCTGCTTCTAGATTCTAGAGAGTTCCTGCTTCTAGATTGTGAAATGGAAGTCAGGAAGAAAAGGTGGCTACAATGTGAGGAATTATTCATTTTAGGTTTTCAGGGGGCCCTGGACAACCCAGCAGAAATAATGCTTTCTCCCTGCCTGGGGTCTCTGCTCTCTCCTCTGGGCCCCTCTACCCATCTAGAGGTCTTTGTGGTGAATCTCCATGTGGGAGCCCCAGGCCAAAATATCTGTGGCTATGGACTGTTTCCCCAGTTCCCAAACCAGGACCCCAGGATGTGGCTGACTGGTGGCCTCATTCTGCACCTGCCCCAATCCAGAGCTCCCAGCTGGAGAAGGAAGAAGGTCACCGGCCTGCTCACCTTTGGGATGGAATCAGGTCTGCTCTGGAATGACTCCCTATTCCAGCCATTGATTGATGGAGCTGGTAACACACAGCACAGATGTATGGTGCTTGGTGACCTCACAGCTTGTATGTGCCTGCCTCTGGTGAAAGGATCATTTCCTGACCTCTTGCAGGAGAGGAAGTGGGTTCTACGGCCCAGCAATCACACTCCCAGTCATTTATCTCAGAGAAAGGAAAACATGTTCACAAAAACCTGTGCACAAATGTATACAGCAGCATTCTTTGTCACAGCAAAAAGCTGGAAACATCAGTTATATGCAACAACATGGAACTTCTGGAAGGCATTATGTTGAGTGGAAAAGTCAATCTCAAAGTATCATATACTTTATGATTTCATTTATATAATATTCTTCAGAATACAGAGATGGAGAATAGATTGGCCTCTGCCTGAAGTTTGGTATGGTGGGGATGGGTGTCACTATGCAGGGAGACCTTTGTGGTCACGAATTGTCCTGTGCCCTGATTATGGTGGTGGTTACACAAACATTCAGAAGAGTGGATGAACATAAGCAAAAGTGGGGAATGTTACAAGAATTCAGCTGTAAAGACAATGTCATAGGCATTATAATGTAGAACTGACTAGTAAGTTGTCCAAAATGATAATATAGTAATATTAGGGTGATGGGGACAGGAAGTGTGCATGTGTATCACCAGGTTGGAAGGAAGAGTACATTCTATCCCACTTTCCATAGTGGGAAGCCAATAAATAATGCCTGAAAGTGAGAAAACAAGTAGTAGCCACCTGAGAATGCTGTGTGAGATTTGGCAGTAAAATCTAAACTGGTCAGCTGAGAGAGTTGAAAATGGCTGTCCCTGGGGGGTGGAAAATGGCAGGAGGTGATGGAGACTCCAGTTTTCATATGTAGAACTTTAGAACCATTTGAATCTTGTACCATTTGCATATGTAAACTTGATAAAGGTAAAAATTAACTTAAGTAATTAGATTAATGGTATAAAAATTACACATAAAAAGAATGTTCATACAATTAACACTATAAAGAATTTTGTAAGCACAGTGAATACAAGATTGATGTTCAAAATTCAGTTAAAATGCTATAAAGTAGTCAAAGCCACTGGAAACAGTCCTAATAATTTTTGAAGATTCCATAAACCAGAGAGTATTAAAGATAGCTCTTACTAGCGATGCATAACACTTAAAAAATGTGAATTTGTGAATTGAAATTCATAAGAGAAAACCTAAATAAATAGAAGTGTCTGATGTCCCTGAATGGGAAATATCAATATTAGAAAGGTCAATTTGCCTGAATTGGTAAGTAAGTGTAAAGCAATCAAGTAATAATTCTAAAATGAGTTTTCATGAAACTTCACAAAGTGATTCTAAAATGCATTTGGCTTAAGATAGCCAGGACAGTTTTGAATAAGAAAAGGAGGAAAGATTTACCCAAAGGTGGTATGAAAACTTAAAGCTCTTCTAAGCAAGACAGAGTAGTTTTGAGAGAGGCAGACAAGTAGCTCTTAGAACAAAGAGCTCATAAAAGAACCACAGATTTATGGAACTTTGATATATGGCACAGGCACAAGGGGCAGTGCAGATAGGTGAGTGCTAGATACTTCCTCCTTGTGGACGGAAAAAATAAGATCCCTACCCCACACCACACACACACACACACAAGAAAAATATAGCTAGATCAAAGGCATAAATGGAAAGAGCAAAACCTGATCAAAAATTAAAACTTTTTTTTATCTAGCAAGTTCTCAAATGATAGTAAGAAGCTGCTTTGTGGACCATAACAGAAGAACAGGAGGGACTCTCCCATACGTGGGAAAGGAAACAAAGATAAGATGGTTTTTTGCAAAGCTATACTAGTAAAACATTAGAGGGAGCTTTCAAACCATCTTGAGAAGAATTGATAAACCGTAGCATATTCTTACAATAGAAAACTATACAGCATTGGAAAATTAATAAATGGAGCTATATATATATATATATATATCAACACGAATAAATCCCACAAACTGTGTTAAGCATAAAAAGTAAAATTTCCTAGAATGCTGCATACAGTATAATAGCATTTTTATAAGATTTAAAACATGCAAAGTAATATTAAACATTTCTTAAGGAATTACACATATGTTGTGGAAGTATACAATCATGCTTGAGAAGGATAAACACCAAATTCACAACTAGGTTTTCCAAAGGGACAGAAGACCATACTGGTAAAATGTTCCTATTTTGCAAAGACAGGATTGTAGTTCCATGGATTTTAAAATTTTTATTTATTCCAGAATGGAAAAATGTTCATTCAACTTAATGATTTCAAAATATACGTGTGTTAAAATGGAATCACACTTGGAAAAGCTGTGGATTAAAGTAAAATGTACTCTGAAAATTAAGGGTTGTTCATGATCAGGGTCAGGATGGAAATCTGTTTTCTTGATTTTGCTTCTCTTTTGGACAGAGGAAGGGCCAGTTTGAAGCTCAGTGCATCAGGGTGCAGACATCCCTGAGTCCCCATGACCCAAGGCCTTCCTTGACTCAGCTCCAAAGCTCAGAGAGAAGGAATGTTAGGACGGTGTGTCGAAGGGAGCATGTCCCTGGTGGAGGTGGGGCTGCAGAGGGAAGGGCAGGGTCTTGGCTGACCTACTGGACCTTGCAGCTTCCACTCCCCACTTGAGACCCTTGACAGGGCAGGAGGCAATGAATTATGGGGCATGCAGGAGCAGAAGGGAAAAACATCCACTCATATTAATCCCAGAAATATTTATTGAGCACTTACTATGTGGCAGGCACCATACTTGGCCTGGGTTCATTGTGCAGATCAGCAATGAAGCTCCACTCACCATAGCCCAACACCTCCTCTGGGTGCTGAGCTTTCTGCCATGCCCACATTCATCTTTGCCACTAGTCAATGTCTCCAAGTTCCTCAGACTCTACTAAGTTTAGGCATGCCTTTCTTATTCATTCCAAAGATACATAATATGAAAGTTGAATTATATAACAATTCATGGTCTCAAAGAGTTTGGGTCTCAAAGCTTTGAATTTCATCCCACCTCTACACGTTGGACTTCCAGCCAGGGTTCCAAGAAGTTAATTTGAAGATATTCAAACTCCAGAGCACTACATTTTGCATGAGAGTTGGAAGCCTCAGAGAATTCCAAGAGACATTTGGGGAAAATAAGAGTGCTCACAACCTTCTCCTTAGGCTGAATCAACTTTGTGGGCACTGTACTGCTTTGGGGGCTCCCCCTGCACTCCTCTTGCCAACAATGATGGTGACCATGCCCTCCCTTCATGACTATGGCCAGCCTCCACCTCACCTCTTATAGGTTTTGCCACCTGTGGATGTAGGTGACTATGAAACTCATCACCAGCAGCACCTTAAATCCCAGGAGGAATGCCTCAAAGATAAGAGCAGGCATCTCTGGACCCCAATACCAATGGGAAGAAAGAGACATCTCATGGAGCTCTCTGAGCTTAAATACTTCACCCCACTCAGGCAACAGAGGTAACTCAGTTGCTCACAGAAGAGCTGAGCTTACCTGTGCTCCCAATGGGCTTGTATGTGCTGTGGGCTGATGGGGACAGTATGAGGTTGGCCTGGATGGGAAGCTGTGCCTCCTGCTGCACCTTATGGGTGAGCACTGACTTGGACCCCTGTGAGCTTTCCCGGGTGTAGGTCCCATCGAGATTCTTCTTGGGCATGGGTGGCTCAGCAACCTTGAACATAGGGCAGTTTTCCAGACAAGTGAGATGTACACTCTGTGGGTAGAATCTCTGCATGTGGCAGGTAATGGCCACCAAGTCTGAGGAACATGAAGATTGAGATACTGTCACTGCAGGGGGAACTGATACAGCCCAGAAAAAGAAATTACTGCAGGAAATCCCATCTGGGAGCCTGGGAACTCCCCAAGGATGGGGGGCCTGCCACAGGGGAGGATGTAGGATGTAGGAAGGATGTGTGTATAAGTAAATGCATGGCTGATGAAAGTGTAAATGCAGGAGTGAACTCTGGCTTTCATGGAAGGATGCACGAATGGCAGAGTGAATGGGGGTGATGAAGCCCTAGTCTTTCCTTCCTTCTCCACTTGGGCCATTAAAGATAAAAGGATGAGCTCTGGATTCCATTTAAGAACCTGCAAATCTATGACTTGATAATTCTAAAATTGAAGGCTCACAGACTCTAAATTTTTATGACTCCAAGTTACTAATTTTTACATTGGAGGAACTAGGTTTTGGAAAGGTTAAGTAACTTACCCAAGGTCACAGTGGCAAAGCTGGGGTTATGGTACAGGCAGTACGTTTCACCATTATGTTCTTCTGACTCCCCTATTTAAAAGCTATAAGCATTTATGATTCCTGGCTTCTGAAATTATTATCTAATGACTTCTAGAATTTTTCAACCAGATTTTCAGCTGTGCAATAGATTTTCAGCTATGCAATAGAATGCATTTATAATGAGGAAATTTGGGGGATTTTTAAATACTATAAAACATTAAAGAAACATTAAACATAAAGCAGAATTTGAACAGACAACATGGCAAAGTTTTGTGATATAATGAGTTATAAGAAATATGTA